GGATCCCCTCTGATGCCCTTTCCTCATTCAAGGATCCCCTTTGGTGCCCTTTCCTTGTTGAGGGGCCCCTCCCCACCCTTTCCTCACTGGGGAGTCCCTCTGATGCCCTTCCCTCATTGGGGGCCCCTCTGAAGCCCTTTCCTTGTTGCAGGGGGTCCCCTAATCCCTTTCCTCATTGGGGTGGGTCCCTCTGACACCCTTTCCTTGTCAGGAGGGGCCCCTCTGACGCCCCTTCCACATTAGGAGGGGGTCCCTGAGATGCCCTTTCCTCGTTGCAGGGATCCCCTTTGCCCTTTTCTCACGGGGGGGGTCCCTCTGACACCCTTCCCTCATTGCAGGTGTCCCTCTGATGCCCCTTCTTCACTTGGGGTGGGGGGAGCCCTTCCTCATTTGGGACTCCCTCTGATGCCCTTTTCTCATTGCAGGGGTCCCTCTAAAGCCTTTTCCTCCTCAGTGGGGGGCCCTTCTGACCCCCTTTCTTCCTTTGGGGGGGTCCCTCTGACGCCCTTTTCTCGTTGCAGGCTCTCCTCGGAGACCGGGGGCATGGGCAGCAGTTAGGGGGGCCCCGGACCCCCCCCAGCCTCGCCATCCATCTGCGGCCCCTTTAGCACCGACCCAGGTTTTAACTAGTTTGTACATTTTCGGTTCCTCCAGCCTCGCGCCACTCACCAGGTTCAGTTTGTTTCATTTTTGTTCTGGTTTTTGTTTTTGGGGTTTTTTTTTTCGGGTTTTTTTGAATTAAAAGATAAAAGCATTTTAATTCCTTTCGTTCAGCTCTCTTAAAACAAAAAACTGCTGAACCCCAAATCTTAGTTTTATAAAGCTTCTCTCTCCTCTCCCCTCCCTTTCCCCGCACCTCCCTCCCTTTCTCCCCCCCCCCTCCTTTTTTCGGCTCATGAAGTTTCTGTTTTTGTCATAAAATGTTAAGAGTGGAAATAAAAAAAAAGGCAAAAAAAACCCAAACCCACAAAAAAGAAAAAAAACCACACAAAAAAAAAAACATTTCAGTTTAGTTCTGTAACGTCAGGAAATTTTTCAAAAAAAAACTGAATAAAAAGATGGACTGGAGCTTTTCCTTGTGAATAGAACCTGCAGGATATTTTGGTTAATGGATCTGCCTGTCTCTGTCTTTATTTGAACCCCCCCTTGGCTCTTCCCAGTGCTCCCAGTATAGCCCCCTTTGGGTTCCCCCAGGAGAGAGAGAAACCAGCCTGACTGGCATTTGGGATCCTTCCAGAGTGTGGGGTTAAACAGCCCAGTGCTCCCAGTATGGCCCAGCTTGGGGATCCCTCTGCAGTGGGATAAACTGGCCCACTGCTCCCACTTATGGCCCATTTGGGTTTTGGGGTCTCACTGGACTGACATAAACCGGTCCTGGGGTGGGAACTTTGATCCTCTGGAGGCATTTTGGGGGTGTCTCTCCTCTCCCAGTTCCCTGCTAACTGGTCTTTAATGGAAACTGGTGTCCCACTTGGTTCTGTTCACTCTTTCCTTTCCCCCCTTCTTCCCCCAAACTCCCATGGGTGACAACCCCCCCCCTTCCCTGAGTGTCTGCCACTGCCCAGTGTTCCCAGTGTCACCAGTAAAGAAAGGCTGGGACTATCTGGGGGGCTCAGCCCCTTATTCCCTGTGCCCCCTCCCT